ACCACGTGCAGCCTAAAACTAAAAGTTCCAACTTTTGACATTAAAAAATAAATAAAAGAGAAGCCCCTTTCAATTGTTAGCTCTCATACATATTAATAACAATAATTGTTCCAGCTAATAGATATTTCAGTAATTGCTGCACTTCAATTTCAGTCTTGAAGGAAAAGAAACGACTTATTAGAGCTTGCACTGAGATATTGTAATGACTTTCAAAGGGATGTTAATATGAACAGGTTTTGACTGACACCATCAGATTCAGGTACCTTTCAGGCATGAAGCTCTGATGGTTTGGGAACTATTTCTGACCTCCATCAAGGAACCTGAAATAGCTCTGTGGACTGAAATGGAACTGGAACTTTTTCTTGAGCAGTGAATGCTTATAAATACACTTCCATGCCATTACAAGCACTGAAGTCAATCTGTTTTAGACTTCACAGGCATGATGCTGTTATTTCCTTTAATAATGAACAGAGCTAGTCAGTACCATCTCAACTGGAACCAAATAGCGTCCTGGAGAGAGAAGGAAGGAGCCGTTAGTCTGATGTGTGGAACTTAAGTTCCTTAAAAAAAAAGTCATCTAAGTCTGAACATGCTCACTAGCTGTACAACATGAATGTTTATTGAAACCACAGAGAAGAGAGGGAGAGACTGACTTCCAACAGGGTGGTCTGACTGGCAATATGGAACCATATCTAGGACAAAGCTCATGAACCACAATATGGTTGTACTTTCTACTCATGATGACTTCTGTCAACAATATGCTTTAAAACAACCTTTAAACTTCTTGTAACAAACGTTACGACATGCCCACATCACCATTCACCAGGACTGCAATGCTCTGTAAGGGGGTTGCCTTTCAAGGCTATCTGGAAGCTTCAATCAGTTCAGAAAGCAGCAGCCAAGTTAGTGGTGATGGTTGTAATGGTGTGTGGGAATGACCTTGGGAGACAGGAGGAAGAGCTGAAGCCTAGGCAACGGTCTGATAAAGGAAATTTGAGACTGAAAGAGGAGGAGTGGAGAAAGAGGCTCAGAAGGGACCCTTCCTAGTTTTTGGGAGAGTAGAAGTAAGGGACGGGATGGGTACTTTCAGACTTGCAAGACTTGCAAAGACTACCCCTTTGAGGTAGTCCAGACAAAAAGCATGACAATGAATACCATCTCTTCCTGTTAGTGTAGATTTAATTCTCACCTATTAAAGCAATGAAAATGCAATAAGGAACTTACCCAACTCATTAACAAATAGGGTTCCTTTATTGTGTATCTTCAAACAAGGACAGTTTCATAAAAACAATATAAATTAATACAACTTGTATTGTTTTCCATAGGTTTATACTTCTCCATGTTATTTATCTAGGCAGAATGTGACAAATCTATTTCACTGTGAGGTCTTAGTATATGAACATTAGGTGCAAACGTTTTGATTATTTTTGTGTACTGGTGGGTATCTATTGAAAAATCTTGTATACTGAATAATTTTGTTATGTATCAAAATTTTGGAAGTGAAGCAAATACCTCAATGAGGCTTTGTGGGTCAGTGAATTTTATTAAATATTTGTTAGTGTCCATGTGGAATTTGTAGAGCTGCTTTTGACCATGAAAGTTCTTCCGCATGTGACTTGAAGCCTAAGAATCTCCAAGACAGTCTTCTCCACCAGCTTTTGACCTGTTGCAAAACTCCCCACTTTAGTGAGGAAAGGGGGATGAAGGTCTGCAGCCTTTGTTTCTCTGTCACAGCAT